AGGAGCGGGCAGTGAAGGGCGGAGTGGCCCCCTCCACTGCCCGCACAGAGGGCACAGAGGAGCGGGCAGTGAAGGGCGGAGCGGCCCCCTCCCAGTATAATTCCATCTCTGTGGAGTCATCTCCGGAACAGTTCAAGCTCAGGAGGTTCTTCGTGTTGAGGGTAAAGACTTTTACTTTTCCACTTTGTTGCTCAAACGGAATAAATGTGCCAGTTTAGAAATCTCCCATCCCGGTGAAACTTCTCATATTTAAAATTTATTAAAATTCATACATGTTATCTTAGGATTTGATGTATTTAACCAGAGTTAGCATAATTCTAATTTTGTCTGAAGTTCCTGGTAAGTAGCAATATAGTTTATGAAAAATTATATATTTGTAGATTAAACCCAAAAGCAGAAACTAGTTGCATTAGAAAAATCCTGCTTACATAATAATATAGACAATCAAAAAGGGATATATATATATATATCTATATATATATATCTTCTTTGGAGACTAAAATGTAAAAGGAGGTTGAGTGGTGTTGATATAACTCTATGTTATGGCTAAACCAGTAAATTTGCTTTGCTTTAATATTATGATTGCAGATATATCAGTATCTGAGTATATAATTACACTCATATGCCAATAAGTGGCAGGAAATTGCAGTACAGAAATGCTAAAGATATGACTGAGGTAATTTAAAGGCAGTCTTTCCTTAACGAGGGCAGGTTGCCAGGTCGGCTGAGCACCAAGCTCAGATTACAGTAAGACTGTCAGGAGCCTCAGTATGAACTCTTAATCTTTTAACTTCTCCAACTTGGCATTGAAATAATAAAACACAAAATGAAAAACAGAGTCGCATGGTATAAACATTTTGGATGTGTAGTGTATTATGTACTGAAGCTTTCTCTTTTTTCAAGTACCTGTTTTACTTATACAGGAAGCTGCACGCTCAGCTTTCTTCATTTGCAGTCATTTTCATGTGCCGCGGATTCATGATTTTGTTTTTTGTTATTTTGTGTGACACACAGACACGCTGACATTTTGTTGGAGTACCAGTCCCAGCTGCATATCTGCCTCAAAGATTACCCCTTAAGCTTTCTGTGCACACATTGTGATTGTCACAGTGGAAAATTAGAAAGTGACACCCGTGCATTTCTGTCTCCTCAGCCTGGCACTCTGAATCAGGCCATCAAAGACGTTGAAGCTCTGGTGGATAAAGAAATAGATGGCAGCCTTCGCAGCATTTGGCTGATGTCAGAGTGAGTTCATGAGACCATGTTCTGTTGCACAGTGTCATGTTCGTGTTGTCATACAGTGTAATGTGTGCTGAGTGAAAACCTTGTATCATTTTTGGTAACACTTTACTTTATGAGCAATATTTAGACACTTAAATGGGTAAATGATAAATGGGTTATGATACACTATAATGTAGTTGTAAGCACATATGAGGACAGTTTTTAATGTCTTTTAATGTATTTGTCAACAAGTAAGTACTCAGGTCCACTTACTAGGTTTCTTTTCCAGATTTCAGCTGCATTTCATGGCCTTTATCAACAGATTATGTTTGCTCAGTTGTCATGGAGACTGAAGGAGTAAATTAATAAATACTACTTTAAGTATCAAAATAAATATAATTCATAAATATAAAAAATACATTATTTGCATTTCCTGTTCATATAAAAAGTGATTAGCTAATACATTTTATTGTCAATCATTTGTTATACTGTAGACTGTTTATAGATCAGCTATGGATGCTTCACAGTAAGAGTATGCAACAAACGACCATTGTTATTAATCCAAATAATCCACAGGTTATTTTATCAACTCAACAATTAATCATTGCGTCTATACAGTGTCTACAAATAGTGAAGAAGTCCCAGCACAACAGACCTTTTTCACAGCAGCTATTTTGGCATAAAATTGTAGAGTAAACAGAGGTGTTACCAATGTCAAACAGAGTCAGGGTGCTGCTTTTGTGTATGTTGTCTCACTGAAAATACTCTACTGTATCAACCATAATAAGTGTCATTGGTAACACCTGTGTTTACCCTACTACTTCCATGTGAAATGGCTGCTGTGAAGAAGGTCTATTTTAGTCCAAGTTGACATATTATGCGTCCAATACATGTCCAAACAACAGCCCAAAACCCAAAGATGTTTAACTTAACTAACGCAGAAGGCTAAGAAAACTAGCAAATATTTACATTTGAGAATCTAAAACCAATTTAGTATTTCATACACAATTAATCGATTATCAAATTTATTGGCAATTAATTTTTTTTATCAACTAATTGATTACTTGTCTAATCGTTTCAGTTCTAGTTGTCATATACTTAAAAACACATTTGTATGTGCTCAAACTACATTGTAATCATAATGTCTTATAAACCTTTAGCAAATGTTTAAAAAACTTAAATGTTAAATAGGGGAAGTGGTGAGTAAAGTATTTTTAAAGTTGTTGTTGAACTGTCAGAGAAAAACACTCCAAAACTGCTGATCTGGAGTTTTAAGGTTTTGACCAAACAGTAATGTGGCAACTGTAAATGCACAATAAGTTTACAGTATCATGTGTTGCTCATTAATAATTCATCAGTAACATATGTACTGTACATCTGCAAATAACCTGCTGCTTATATGGACTGAGTGGGTTGATTATGGGCCTTTACTGTACTACAGTACAAAAACATTTCAAATACCAATGTTCTTGTCAAACCCCAAACTCCAAGAATATCCCAGAAGTCAGTTCAGAGGTAGTGATCTGACTGCCTCGAACACAGAGCAAAATGAAGTGACTGCAGGACATTTACCAAGTGCGCTTGCGGATGTCAGGTTGTATCACTCCAGCAAAAGCTTTCAGGAAACATTTAAAAGGCTGGCCATGTGAGAATGAATAATACATCCCATTTATGCAGCTCTGTCCAACACACGTTAACGTTTGTCCTACATTTGGCCTGCAGTTATCAACGCTACAGAAGCCGCCGTAGGATTTCTTGACACAGAAAGAGTGCATTATATGGTAATTCAGTGGCGCTGCTGCTGAATATCCCAGAGGGAGGCCAGTGTTTAATGTCAGAAAGGCATGAGAAATTCCTCAAATCTGGCTTTGCTGAGGATTGTCACTAGCTTCAGAAAGAGTGAGATGATCTCACTTCATCTATTTTTATCATTTTGACTGTTGTTTGATGAGATTTTGTTTATTATAAAGGGCTTTATTTTTTACTTATAAATAGAGTAGGTGTTTTTTTAAATGTAAAATAAGTCAAAAATAACAGTTCTTCCAAATAGTGTCAGTGGATTATTAAAAGAGAAAAAAAAATGTAACTGAAGATAGTTCTTGAAAATACTGGGAGATGATCTAGTTCATTTAAAGGAATAGTTGAAAGTTTGGGAAATGCACGTTATTGATGTTTTTTTATGAGAGTTAAATGAGAAAATTGATACCAACAATATGAAGCTAAAATCAACAGGCGCTTCACTTAGCTTAGAATATAGCCTGAAATGGGAAAACAGCTAACCTGGCTCTGTCCTAAGGTAAACACCCTGAGTTATGTGAAAAAATGTTTTTAATCCTTTATGTTCAGGTTACCGTACCAAGCAATCACAGAAAAAGTGAGAACAGATTCAGTAAACAACTTAGAAAACAAGGACATAATTTTCCTGTCCACATTAAAAACATTAAACTTCGTAAAGAAGTACAAACGTTGCTGTCCTTTCTTACAGACTGCATCAGAATTTACATCAAATTTTAAGTTTTTATCAATGACTGTTCCAAGATATTTATACTGTTCCACAATTTCAATGCCAGTTCCTTTGATGAAGGTATGAGATGGTGGGTGGGATCATTTTATTCTGAAATCAATGACCATATTTTTGGTCTTTATAATATTTAATATGAGAAGGCTTCATCACACCATTTAACAAAGTCATCTACCACCGGCCCGTGCTTAGATTCATCTTTATGGAACAAGCTAATGATAACTGTGTCTTCAGCAAATTGCAGGATGCTGGCTTTTATAGTTATTGGTGTAGAGAATGTACTCTCACCCTCTGAGGCCTACATGAGAAGAAGTCTACAGTCCAGCCCAACAAGTTTGCATCAAGATTAAAATCATAAAGCAGTTTCTTAACTAAAACATGCGGCTGAATAGTATTAAATGCAAATGAATCTAAAAATAAAAGTCTGGCATGTGTGACAGGACCTTCTAGGTGTGCACAAAGTGGGGTGAAGTGATCAATGCATCCTCTAGTCCAAGGCCTCCCCCATCCTTTCCAGCAGTTCCGTTTTGACTAGCCTTCCTTTCAAATGACTTCATGATCAGTGAAGTCAGTGCCACTGGTCTGAAGTTATTTATCTCTTAAGGGTTCTGCTCTAAGCCACTGGGACAACAATGAACTTCTTCCATAACTTTGGAACCCTACGCAGTTCAAGAGACATCCTAAATAACAGAACACATAAAACAGAACAGAGCTGTTGAACAAGACTGAAGCAGTCTACCTGTGATACTATTTGGCCATGGGCTCTTATTAATCTTATTTTTTCTTGAAATACTGTCTTTACATCACCAGTGTCAAACACCAAGATTGACTTAGTAGGGTGTGCAAGCTCATTACATATTTCCTGCAAGTTCATCTGCAAAGTCCTGTTGTTGCTGCTTAGATTCTCCCCAAGCTTATTTTAATATTTATTTCCGCTCTTAGAGATCAGCATCTTCACTCCAGACCTTGACTTCTCTTGTCTTGACCTTCTCCCTCTTTAGCGTTGGGTGGTGCAGGGGTGAGATTGATGGTGCTGTGGTCAGAGGAACCAAGGGGGGACCAAGGAGACGCCTTGTACGCTCCTTTTATAGAACCAAAACATAAATCTAGACTCTTATTTTTCCTGGTTGTTCAGGTGATGTATTGGTAAAGATTAATTGATGTATTTAATTTGCAGTTATTAAAATCTCCCATTAACAGGCTTTGCTTTTGGCTGAATGTGCACTACTGTCACAAATAACTGGGGGAACTCCCTGGGAAGATAAAAAGGGCGGACAGAGACAGACGACAGTTCACCGTCAGCTGTGCATATAGACTCTCTAATGGTGACATTATTGCACTACTGCTGATTTATATATACACAGACTTGGCCTCCTTGGGATTTCCCCGTAGCATACGCGTTCCTGTCCAGCCTGACAGGTGCTCCAAAGCCGCTGATTGTCAGTTCCGACTCTGTGTCTGAAGACTTGAGCCATGTCTCACTAAAAGCCATGATGTCTGAGACAGACTCCTCCACTTCTCCCTCATTTCCTCGCCTTAGAGATATACTTTCTGTCCCAATCCTGTGCCCAATGCCTAACGATCTCAGTGTTTAAATCCTGAATGAAAAGCGGATCCATAGACATGTCCACCGAAGTTTGGGTTGTCCCATTGCATTAAGAACTCCTGAGAGTATAGCCATGCTGGGTGGCGTGGTTGAGGTTGGACACTCTGGGCATAGTAGAGCCATAAAAACCTTAAAAAGTCTAAAATGTAAGTCCTTAAAATTTCTTAAATATGATTTTGACAGGTCTTTTCAATTGATTGGGTTAATTACGTTGACGTTACTTATATAAAGTTGCATTTTTCCATCTCACTTTTGAGATGTGTTTTCAGGAAAAAATTGTATTGATCATGCACTGTTTTTCCTACATATTCTTTATGTATTTTTTTTGCCTGTATGGATGTAAAATAGGTCTTAAATTGCATTCATTCTTAACTTAAAGGTCTAAAAAAGTCTTAAACTTAACCTGCTAAAACCTGTAGAAACCCTGTATTTAGTGGACAGACAATGAGATTGCTGTCGACCTTCTCATCTAACTCTCAGCAAGAAAGCGAATAAGCGCGTTTCCCAAAATTTGTGTGCTACAAAGTATCCCAGTGTGTCCTACAGAGGTACGTCAGTTCAGGCCTCCGCGCCGTCTTGCTGAGTAGCGCTGTGTTGTTGTGTCAAGCTCAGTGCCAGCAGCGTGTCAGACACCCACAGTCTGATCATGGATCTCTGCAACACCTCTGTGCTATCCACGACACCCATGCCCAGTCAAGGTTAACTCATTTCATTAGCACAGTCAAAGCTCTGCCCCCACACCTTTCCCATAATGCCTTGGCTGTTCAGTGAACTGTCTTTTTTGGCCTGCGGCTGCCAGCAACGATCTAGACTGTTTCACTTGGAGTTGGCCACATGAACCCAGCTCAGCGGGCCGTAAGAAAGAGAGCTACTCCAAGAGAATCCACGCCACCGTGAATTAGTTGTGTGCACAGCTTTGAAGGAGAGAGTGTGTGTGAGATGATGCTTTTTGTGACATCAATTAGTAGGACAGCCCTTTTGAACACACAATGAGTACATAATGAAAAGCATACAATAGTTTGTTGCTTTAAAGGTGTATCTATTAATATTATTTTTGGTTAAATGTAACAACTTAAAAATGCTTGCATGCATATTGTATGATCTTTGCCAAGGGCATTTTTGGAAATTGTGAGGCTTTTACAGTACATAACTGAGCAGTTTTGCTATACATGTTTTTTGTATCAACTTCAAATAACCTCCTGCAGAATACCGATATTAAAACTGCACTTCACACAAAAAGTCACATAGTGAAAATTACTCTCCACAGCAGTGGTTCCCAGCACGGGGGTTGGGACCTCCATAAGGAGTCCTGGAGTCACCACTGGTTGCCTGGCAACTGTTCTTGGCCAAGAAGCATTCCATCACCTAACCTCCGTAATTGTCCCTTTAGCATTTAATTTCTTTGTACAGATTAAGTAAAAAAGATACGAGTTTAGAGGTGCTGGTAGACATTTTTACCTTTGGACAGAACCAGGCTATATTTGTCCAGTCTTTATCATTCGTCTCTTCTCATCTAACTTTTGGCAAGAAAGCAAATAAGGGTATTCCCCACAATGTTGAACTATTCCTTTAATTATGTAATGTGACCCTTAGTTTGTGACCCACTTAAGATTAATAGGATAGGAAAGCTGAACAAATATGCCTTTAATATACATTATATAGTAAACTACTGGATATTTTACGTAAAAATGTATTGATGTAAAACAAGGAAAATTGGTTGAGCTAACAGGTAAACATGTGCAACCAGTGATAAGAGATCACAAATAGGCATTGCCTGTTTAGAGGTCACAGCAAAAGATTGGGATCTGGTGCTCTGGAGTCTAAAGTTAACACCATAACCTACACTCAGTTGCCATTTTATTAGGTACACCTATTTCTATTATTTTGTAATAAAGCAGTCTAACACAACAGTTCTGTAATAAATCCTCCCTCTGTGAATATTGTGCTGTTCAATTTTTGATGAAACTGTTTTAGAGAGGTGTTGATTCAACTATATGATCAATTTGGAGGCCGCTGTTTGTGGTGCCGTTGGATTGTATTTCGTTATACTGAAAGGTGTTTCCTCACTGATATAAATGTGGTCTAGCTGTACCGAAAAAACTAGCAACCAAGTGCATACCAGTGCTACTCCTTACTCACTGTATAGTCATCCTCTGCCCAACTTCCCTCATTGTACAGACAGATAACGACGCATTGGTTAAAAATTGAGTGAGCCAGTAAATTCTGTTTGTTCCAAATCTAAAATGTAGATACCAAGAAATGATTTGTCACTGTAGCTCAAACACACACTCTCTGTGGTTGTTTCAGGGTGGATCACTGGAACAATGAAAAAGAGCGTCTTGTTCTCATCACAGACAGCTCTCTCCTGGTCTTCAAATATGACTTTGTCATGTTCAACTGTGATCAAATCCAGAGGATCCCACTGAACTTTGTGGACCGCATCTCCCATGGCACCTTCAGCTTCCCAAAGCGCTCTCTGCTTCAGTAAGTACCCTCATTAGCCCTGGACTAGTCCTTCAAAGGTAAACTTGCACCTCCTATCAATAAAACCTTCAGCCGCGGAGGAAAGTGAAACACTTAATATAACTTAATATAAACACATTCATTGACATTTAAATATTGTGCAAAACAGCATTGTGTTATAGAGAAAGTCTTGGACCTCTGGTGTCCTGTCAGCTTTAGTCATTTTCAGTAAGTCTACTATAAAATTTCTCTCTGTAGCGTTTAGTTGGAGAATTCCAAATATTAGCCCTAATTTTCTGCTCTGTGCTCTAATGTGTTAAAAATCCCATTTAGCAGCAGACGATTAACCATAAAGCTCAAACAAAAATGAAAACATGCCTTGTCACATTTTTTGCTCATATGTAATTGTTTAAAAGTAATGCATCATACAACACATTCTTAAGCTCTGCAAAAAACAGTTTACGTTGCCCCCAGCACTGCACTCTCTGTTCCTCATCTGATCAGATGTAGTTTTTCTTTTTCTTGAATAAGGCTTCATAGGGAAGGATGCCTTATTCAGCCCCTACCTTCAACTACCCAAAACAGAAAAGAAATTAGTAGCATGCAGCCTTTTTAACAAATTTCCAAGATTGAAAGAGTATGCATGATTTACTAAAAAGTATCAACGTGATTTGAGTTGTCAGTGAAAAGAGTGACACGATGTTGAGGGTAGCATCAGAAGGCTCCTTGGTGAGGGGGGCTACATGCAGAGGATCGGTACGGGGAGCAGCCAGGGACAGCAGAGCTGAAATGGGCATGGCAGAGAGACGAGAGTGCGGAGGGTTTTTCGGGGGTAAGGAGTGCATAGCTGTCACTTGGTGCTGTCGCTTAACTGATTAGTGGCAAAATTAATGTAGCCCTTTCATCTAAACCTTTTAAAGACGGCTCAGGGGATACCAAACCAACTAAAACTAATTTGATGAATAAAACGTAATGTGCTGTGAAGAGCTTAGAGAGCGCTGCCTTTATTGGAGGCTTTATCTCTGCACATTACGTTAAATTATACATAAAACGCTCGTGAAAGCCACTTGGGAGTCCGACAGTAAAGAGACGGTTTCAAATAAGAAAGACTCAAGCCTCAAACATTTCTTCTTTCTGTCTTCGTTGTCACTGCTTCCTTCCTCTTCCTCTTTATCTTCCTCTCTGTCTCTCCCTCAGGAAGTGTCTTCTTTTTTCGTCTAGGTCATCCCGTCTTAGTTTTGGCAGAAACCGATCTACAGTAAAGTTCATGTATATACGAAAATGAATCCTCCCGACCGATGTGATAGTACACAAAAATGTTTCCACATCACAAATCAATTTGAGAGAAAAGTACTAAAAGTCCAACTGTAAAGATTATTCAGCTGCTACTTTAATGTTAAAAGTATTTTTCAGTAAATCCTAACTTTCTATTCTATTTAGAATCAGTATAGAAACATTTAATAATTGTTTGTAACACAGTATAACTTATTTATAAGCAGATATAGGTTTTTATGTATTTAAAGCAGATTTTGGGCCATTGGGGGCAACGTAAACTGACTGCGCCAGATGGTTTGTTACACATAACCCTCTGGGAAGTTGTCATTGGAAACTTTCAAAAAATACTCGGCAGGTGGTAGGATGAACCATCTGTCTATCACCGTCTGTCACGAGTGAACTTCAAACACTTTTTTCTCAACCAAGAGTTTCACGGCCACCATAGTTTCTCCTACAGATTTGGAAGGCTGAGCTGTATTCAAATGGTAGCAACCTTCAACTTTACCGCTAGATGCCACCAAATCCTCCAAACTGGTCTTTAAAGACCTTTCAGATATCATAGAGGTCTTCAGTTTTGATATAGCAAAAAGCTCAGACAGTGAGGGAATCATATTTATTTTCCACTGCTCACTGAAAGCAAATAATAGCAACTACATATATGCTGATGTAAATAAGGAAGTATGTTGTCCTCCTATCAGTATGATTCAGCTGCTTTTTCAGCTGTCATGGTAACAACACTTGACTGTTAGTCTTAGAGTTATTACTGTTCACATTCAGGAGCGTGAGAATACAAGACAATCTCCTGCTGACAGTTGTCATCTGACCACTTGATGTCAGTGTGCACCCTTGGTAGAGACAGTTCAAAGCAGGAGCACGCCACATCACATTTCTTCATCTGTTTGATGTTGTCATGGATGACTCCGCAGCTGCTAGTATGAATCAGTGCTGCTAGAAAGACCTCCTACTGTATGGGCTGCAACACATTTGACACCTTCACAGTTGCATCAGAAAAGTCAGGCCATTTTTTGGCCACGTTTAGGCATTTAATTGCATTAAATGTTGCATAATTGTTGCTAAGCACTTTCCTCAATGTCTTTTGCATAGCAACACTGATAGAAGTATTGCACATATAAATTGCTTGTAAATCTTAGAGCTTATTTGGCATCATTTCTTACAACATTTGCTTGTAAAATGCCATGAAATCAAAGTTTAGACATCACAGGCTACCACCATCATTTGTTTGGATTTTCTCTCTTTTTGGATATTATTCTGCTAACCTGTGCAACTAGGCTTCCTGAGGATGTGAATATTTTATAATAGAATTAATAGAATTAAACTTGCTGAATTGAGACTGAAAGCACTTTCATGAACGTTTGACCCCTGTGCTCCCAGACCATCAGCTTCAGAACAAAGAATATCAGACTGCCTCTATGGAGCGTCTTTTTGGTGTCAGCTCCTTCGTCTGTGCTCCGTAAGCTTCCCCAAAACCTTGATGATGCCAATAGAAAGTGTTGAGGGAGTGTCAGTATTTTTAGTCCTGATGATTTTGTTTTCATCGCATTCTCCAGGTGCGCCCATGAAGAAAAAGCACAGTATACTCTGCATCTTGGGAAAGATGTGTTTTAAGTGCCTTCTTTCCAAACTGTCTAGACAAACTAATTACCCAGCACATCATCTATTTTTTTTTATTCCTGTCTGAAAGAGTTGGGTGTGGAGGTTTAAAGAAGCCCCACAAGAGGTTGCTTCAGTTACTGTTTTAGGAAATATATATATTTATGAAAGTTGGAAATAATCCCAGCACTGCACTCTCTGTTCCTTCATCTGATTCAGATGTAGTTTTTCTTTTTCTTGAATAAAGGCTTCATAGGGAAGGATGCCCTTATTCAGCCCCTACCTTCAACTACCCAAAACAGATTTTATTAACTTTTTCCACATGTATTCCTGCTGACATAAGAGTGCTTTATGATTTGAATGTTGTAATATACACATCAATATGGTGTAAAATCTATCTTTGTGTCAGTCCTTTGTGGTAGTAGTTCTCTTAGACCTGGCTTTAAAAGCAATCATACCTCCTCTGAGGTCTGCAGTCTTTCCGACCACACCTATCAAAACCAAACGCAGCTTTACACATTCAGACAGCAGAGGGGCAGTCAGTACATAGAGCTGATTAAGATAGCATCGCATAATTTATTGTGGATATATCTCAAGATGATCATTTAGTCCAGAGCCCAGGCTGATGTGAGCAGGCGAGCTCAGTGCTGAAAGTTTTGTGTTTAGAATGGCAGAAGGAACACACACCACAGGTTCTCTTAAATGACTTGAACTCCTGTTTTCCCTGTAAACCAAATCAAACTTATGATTGACTTAAAGCCACAGTTAGAAAGTGAAGCACAAGTCAGTGAGGGCTAAACATTTAGGGGTCACCCACTGATTGCAACTTTCTTGGGTTAGTCACTCCCAAATAACTAAGTTGGAAAAAATGGAAGAGGATTATTTACTGTAATTCCAAGTTTCACCTTACAGGTTATACAAACGCGTATGCTCTCATCTCGAGTACGGCTTAGTAACAAGCTTTGTTAGTTCAGAACAGAGTGGCGTGTCTAGGTGCCTCCTCTAAGATCAAATATGATAATGATATATTGAAAACTGTATACAATTCTCTCTTGT